ATAAAAAATAAAAAATGTTGAGATTTTCACGAAATATTTTAAAAAAATAAAAAGTATAATAGTGTCATTAATATAAAATTATAATAGCAGTATTTAATCCTTTCAGATCTGTAAAGAATAAGGAAAAACAGAAGGTAAATATTCTTACAGAGAGTAGCTGAGCTTTAAGGTTCACTTGGTTTAAAGTCCTCATTTTGTTTGCAGATGCATTGTTAATGTTTAGAGGTTATACTAATGTTATTTATTAATTGTTTCCATTCTTGTATGCTGCCCACTAAGAGCTTCTTTGTTTGGGATTTCATTCACCTGTGTCAGTAAAAAAAAAAAAAAAAAAAAAAGAAAACAAAACAAAGTTTTATTTTTAAATAAAATTTCCTTTGTTGTAGCACATGGTGTGTGTTGTGTTGGTTCTGTGAGCCCTGGGAAGAAGAATCTCCTGCTCCAGCCTGAGATGTTCAGTCTCCTGGTTCTCTTTTATATTTTATATCTATATATATATAAAATAAATATATATAAAAATATATAATTTATATTTTTATATAATTTATTTTTATATATGATATTTATTTATATTTTCTATTTATATATAAATATTTCATATCTATATATAGATATGAAATATATACTTTTTATATATAGATATATAAAATTGATACTATATATACTATATATAATATTATATATAATATATAGTATAAAATATAGATAATATATATAACATATAATATAGTATATATAATATATATACTAAATATAGTATATATAATATATATACTATATATATCTATATTTATATATAGGTATTAAATACTCTTATATATATAAAGTAGATACTCTTTTTTATATATATAGATATTAAATATTTTATAACAGTTGCCACAATTATCTGTTAAATTCAAGTGGATGCTGACAAACAGAGGGAGGAAAGATTTACACAAATTTCATCCTACTAAAACATATTCTAAGGGAATCAATGAACAAAATCTATGATCCATCAGGACCAAGAAGGGCATTAACAGGTTGTTTTTTTTTTTTTTTAACGTTGCATAGCATTTGTAGAGTTATATATAATATAACCTAATGTAGGATATATTTTACATTAATAATAAATATCAGGATTTAGTTAATAATTGAATATATTAATATATATATACACAGGAACTGAACATACACTGTTATATATTCATATATATCAATATATGGGTGGGTCACATACAAAGGGTATATAATGGATCCAAAAGGATCTAATTAGACAATTTAGCTAATTTGGGATGGACACACAGGGGATGAAGGGGGAACCCCCCACCAAGTCACAAGGAGGGTGAGGACATGGGGAGGGTCAAAGCCCTCAGAGATGTCACTGTGGGACCCAACGAGTGAACTGGGTTACACGTGGGGGTTACCTGAGGTGGTTTTATTCCCCCAAAACTGATCCAAGGGGTCAAATGAGATCACTGAGGGGTTACTTGAGGTCATTTGGGTCTTTCATAATTGGGCCAGGGGTCAATGAGTTCATTTTGGGGTTACTTGAGGTCATTTGGGTCTGAAAATTGAATTTTGGGGTCAAATGAGTTCACAGAGGGGTTACTGGAGGTCATTTGGGTCTCTGATAATTGGGCCAGGGGTCAACGAGTTCATTTTGGGGTTACTTGAGGTCATTTGGGTCTAAAAATTCAATTTTGGGGTCAAATGAGGTCATTGTGGTGTTACTCGAGGTCATTTGGGTCTAAAAATTGAATTTTGGGGTCAAATGAGGTCATTGTGGTGTTACTTGAGGTCATTTGGGTCTAAAAATCAAATTTTGGGGTCAAATGAGGTCATTGTGGTGTTACTTGAGGTCATTTCAATCTGAAAATTGAATTTTGGGGTCCAATGAGGTCCCAGAGGGGTCACTTGATGTCGTTGCAGTCCCTGGTCGTTGTTCCAGAGCTCCACTCTGGGCTCAGGGGTTCAGAGAGGGGTTAATTAATATCAGAATGAGAGGGGACACATGGGTGCAACGGGTCAAGGAGTGTCAGCCCCCTGAAATGCAGTCCAAGGTCTAAGGTCTGCTTTCATTAATATTTAATTAGCAATATTAGTTTCTTAGTTTTATTAGCACGCCCTTGTCGCCGTTGTGGGACAGAACCAGGCCCCGCTGCAGCACCAGAATTTATTTATTTGGGTCTTCTTGTTGTCTGTCAGAGCCTGAAGATGCAATTGTCTGATGGAACTTGCTCAGTTCTAATACTGCAATTATTGAGGAATAACCCACAGCTATTTCAGCCAATATTGTGTCTATTAAAACCTAACAGTTCTCTAATAATCACTTGCAATGGCTGGCCCTAAAATTATCTGTCAGAGTGTATTTGCAGATTTATTGGTATTTAAAACAGCTGACACTAAGATCTCTTCTTGTATAACCTGCCAGAGTCTAATAATATTGTTCTTCATTAAGTAATTAATGTAGGTAGAAATATAATAGTTTAGCACAATCTGTAACAGAATCCACTTGGAATTATTAATGCAATTATCTATTAGAATTATTAGAACTAACTTATTAGTACACTTAGCAGCTCGAAATTCTGTATTATAAGTTGTTCTATTGAAAGAGTCTCATAATCATATAATAGCATTAAAATTCTCTATTAAAAGCTATTACTGTCAGCATCCAATAAATGAAATACCAATTTGTATTTAGTCTTTATACTAGTTATTGCCATCAATTTAAAATTATCAATTAAATATAATATATATATTATATATTTTATATATTATATATAAAATATATTATCAATAAGATATATTATCAATAAGATATATTTTCAATAAGGTAAATTATCAATAAGACACTGGGAACTAAAGTAGCTAAGATACAAATAACAGTATCTATTAAATTCTTTAAGGGAAAAAGCATTAATATTTATTAGTACCTATGGTGGCTATTTATTACAATTATCTAATGTCTTGATTCTATCAGAATAAATCAATTCTATCAGAACAAGTCACTCTACTTATTGATTTGTCTGTGAGCAGTTATTAGTATTTATATTAGCTATTAATACAACTATTAGTATCTATATTAGCTATTAAATCATCTATCAATAGTTTCTACAATTGGGATCTGCTGAATTTTATTGACAATATTCTCTTTTAGTACCTTCCACCACTTGCAGCATAATCACACATTGCCATCTAAAGCTCTGATTATATAATAATAATAATAATAATAATAATAATAATAATAATAATAATAATAATAATAATAATAATAATATATAATATATAATAAATATAATAATTAGTAGATTTATTAGGGCTGATAGTTACTGGTGTATTACATTTATCAGCAGCTAAAGGGGCATAAATATGTTGTGTTAGAGCCCTGATGGGACTGAGGAATGATGGGGGAGACCCCTCTGCCCTTCCCACCCCCGGGGCAGGGGGGAACAAACTCCGAACTCAGCCTTGAATTTGTACTTTATTTTCACATATATATATATATATATATATAAAAAAAAACCAAAACAAAAAATCAAAATAAAACAAACAAACAAAAAAAAAAACCCTTGCAAGTATCAGACAAAACTTCTGGAAAATGTACACACGAGTCCAACAAAAATATATATATATATAAACCAAAGCTTTTGCTGGGACACCACGTGGAGCTGGCGGGGCGGTGGCACAGGGACGGTGCTCCTGGCACGCAGGGGCCAAGGCTGGTGGGCACCAGAGCTCTGGGAACAGGCACTGAAGGGCAGCAGAGAGAGCCACAGCTGCGGGTGGAAGGCTGGCACAGCCCGTGGCACGAGCTAAAGGCACGTTCTCGCCCCTGTCCCCTCCCCAGCAGCCTGACTGCGGGGCCAGAGGTGCCACCAAAGCGCAGCAAGAAACCAATTTTACCCGGGGCTGGCAAGAAAAATAAAAACCCTGAGACGTCACTGACTGGCCCTGGTCTAGTGCTAGCTGGAAATTTGAGGGGGGCTCTGCCATTGCTGTGCAGGCCCCCCTAAAAAAAACCCAATTCAAACCAGACAAAGCTGGGTCTGGCACGTGCCTGGAGATAGATGGGCACCCCACCCAAGCTGTGCCAGCTCCTCTCCTCCTGTCAAGGAGCTCCCTCCCTGCACGGCACCACCCGGGCTTAACCGAGACAAGAACAGCTCAAAGGCAAAGCAAAGCACGAAAACCTCCCCCCAGACGCCGCCCTAACCCACCCCCATGCCCGCTGCTCCTCCTCTAACCTGCTCGCCACCACAGCTGAGGTGCCTGGCACGTCCCAAAAATCCCATCTCAACAGCCTCTCTGAGCGAGGTCGGGGTGAGAAATTAAAAAATAAAAAAAACACCCAACAACCCCACGCGTCAAACCCTTCCCCACACACACATGTACAGAACAGATTACCTGGGGATGGGGGGAGAGAAAAAAAAAAAAAAAAAAGCCTCAAATCCTTCCACCAAGTAGCTTAACGAGATATTTCTTCCTAATATTGCTGTGGCTTCTCTGGAGTAGTAAAAGCGAGTCCAGCTTTGCTAAGGCAACACCTGCAAGCCCACGGCTGAGGTAACGGAGGGGCAGGGCAGGGAGGTGTCCCCTGCACGCTGGGCTCAGCGCTGTGACACACCAGGGGTCTCTGGCAGTGCCCCCCCAGGTGTTGGAGCAGGGGTGGGAGAAGGCAATCCAAGAGCAGGAAAGGTTTTGAAGGGAGAAAGCACTTGGTAGGTGTCCTCTCTAGTTCCTCAGATCGATGTATTTCTCGCTCTTCAGACCGACAAAAGAAGGGTGGGGGGGGGAAAAAACAAGCAGTTAGGGATGGACACGAGCTCAGATCCTCTGCTGTAAATGTGTTAGTGACACACCCAAAGCGACGGGGGGGACAACTGCCAGCCTGGGCCACCCCAGCGTGGCCGAGCACCCTCCCCACGGTCAGGGGAGGGACGAGCTGTGCAGGCACAACCCGGGATAAACTCTTGGCCCAAGTCTAAGTGGGCTCAGGTGATGCATCCTGTGGCTCCACAGCACGGCTGGCCCAGCACTGGCACTGGGAACCGCTGCTCAATCCACCCCAGGTGACAGGAAAGCCCGTGGGCCCAGGGATTCATCTCAGGGGTGCTGAGCGGGACCCACTCCCGCAGCCTCTGCCCTGACTCCTGGCCAGAGAGGTTTTGTGTAGTTCCTACTCCCAAAGGCCCCCTGGAGAGCCTGGAAGGAGGCAGAGCCAAGCAGAGCAGCGTGCTCCCAGGAGGTGCCAGGGGCTGGCACACAGCAGAGCTGCCCACGCATCCCTGGGGCTGAGATCCCTCTTTTCTCCCCTCCCCTCCCTTCCCACGGCCCCTCGGAGCGCTGGTGATGGATGATAGAGGCCCATGCAGGGTGGGCAGTGCTGGGAGGGGAGCAAAGCATTACCTGGATCACCCTCATCCCTGCTCCCAGCCCCGGGAGCAGCCCTGGCCCTGGGAAGAGGGCAGTGCCCGATGCCCGGTCCTACCTGGTCAGCAGCGGGTCTCTTCTGGCCGTTGGCGCCCTGCAGGAGCCCCGCCTCTTCGGGAAGTTTATCTGACTTAACTTCAACTACAATCTTGTCTTTACGTGCCTCTGGCCTTGTGCTAGGGGAGGGAGGTGACAGTTTTTGAGACATGGTTTGGGGGTACCAAAGAGGGCCAAGTCCTGGGGCTCCGTCTCGGGGGACGCTCCGGAGCGGGGCCGGGGCGAGAGAAGCTCCGGCTCTCAGGAGGATTTGGCCGCCCAGCCCCTCCCCGGGGAGGGGACCCTCGGCTGCTCTACCACTCTGCTGTCCTCTCACGGCCTCCCTGCACGGACGGGGCGAGCAGTGCCCTGTGGGAAGCTGGAGAAGCTGCCAAGCCCCCGGTGCGATGCCCTGACCGCCCCCCCCCCCCCAAGGCTGTTCCCCCCTCACTGTGCAGGGAGCAGCTGGTGCAGTGGGATGGGAAGCACAATGAGCGATGGCAGGAAGCAGCCCTGGCCCCGTGGGCTCCCCAGGGGGGGCGGGTGGCAGCGCTTACATGTCCTGCTTCCCAGCGCGGCCACACGGGATCTTGCCTTTCTTGTGCAGGAAGTAGATGACGGCGCCCAGCACGGCCACCACCAGGATGGCCACGATGATGGCCACGATGATCACCCCCTGGCTCTCTGCTGTCGTCTTTTGATCTGAACACGAGAGGGGAGGGAGGAATCAACGCCTGCCCCACTGTAGCGCTCTCTCTGTGGGCAAGGAGAGGATCCCTCCCCCCGTTCCCAGCGCTTCCCCAGCTCCCTGCAGGATGCAGATCCCAGGGCAGAAACACAATCTGCCCTGGGATGCCACGCCCCATGTGCCACAGGAGGGTGGGTAGCAGGGATTTCTGCAAGGCACCAGGGCCATCCCTTTGCTGCCTTGCCCAGCAGGGTGAGGTGGGTGAGGGCAAGCGGGCAGCTCTGCCACCGCTGGGAACCGTCCCTGCTTCCCTCCCTGCTCGGCAGGGAGAGGAGCAGCGAGAGATGCAGCCCAGAGCCAGCAGCCAAGCTCCCTCCCCAGGCAACATAACGTGACTCCTGCCAGAGCCTGAGCTGATAGACACCATCAGCAGACTGACCTTTCCTGACAGACTCCACTGGAAGAGCAGGAAGGGAGAGAAAGAGCGAGCTCAGCCCCGCCAGTGCCCGTGTGAGGGGCACTGGCACAGCTGGGGGGTTCCCGGGGCACAGAGCAGTGCCAGGCACTCACCCAGCAGCTGGATGTGCTTCTTGCTGTCCCCCAGGTCGTTGGAGACGTGGCACATGGCCCCGGTCGTCAGCAGGTCGTGGCTCACACGCACCGTCAGGTTGCTGGTGATGTGCTGGTTGTCGACGTACTCGTGAGCCTGGGCAGGGGAGGCAGGGCAGGGTTCAGCACCTGAGCCCCTCACAGGGACCTGATGCCTCAAAATCTGTGTTATATCAGGTTTTAGCACGGCTCATCAGCGCCTTCATCTTGCTAAGCAACTTTGCACAAGGTTTCTAAAAACGCTGTTTAACATTCCTTTCGAGAATTCCAGCGGACAAAGAGATTTCAGCAAGGTGGAGAAAGAGGCACAACAGAGAACATGACACCTGATACAACCAGGCAAAGCTATTCAGGAGCCTTGAAACCATTCCAGGAGGCGTGATGCTGTGCCAAACACCACGGAACAAGACGAGGGAGACGGAGATAAGGGGTCTTTGGGACCTCTGACTCGAATTCGGGAGGCGTGGTAGTAAAGGAGGGATGGTTTTGGAGGTGAGTGTGACAGAATGAGGTAATGCTTTGAATTATTAATCAGGTGAGTAAATAAAATCAAGGGGCTTTGGGAACTCTGCGTGCATGCTTGGGAAGAAACCCGATTCTTGTGCACTCGATGCCGTAACAACAACAGGAGTTTTGCCTCGCAGGCTGAGCGTTGGGGAGTTTTCTGGCCCCAGTTCCCCAGCTCTCACCGTGCCGTTGACGCTCCAGCGGACGGAGGGCCGGGGGAAGGCGATGGCCTTGCAGGTCAGGTTCACCACCTCGTCCTGCCGCACGTACAGCGGGGAGCTGCTGAGGGCCACGATCCGCGGCTTGCCTGGGAGAACAGAGGGCCCTTCCATCAGCCTACACCTGCACCTGATGCCCTGAACTCTGTATATTATGTAGAACTGTAGCACAGCTCTTCTGGCATAGCACTTTTAGCCCACAGTTGTATTACACTCCTAAAATGCTGCTCAACGTCTCTGGGCGAGGATTCCGACAGGCAAAGATTTCTGCAGGGTGAAAAACATCTTATCTTTAGAAAATGTCCTCAGAGTAAGGCAGAGCAGGGTCACTCCACTTGATACAACCAAGTCAAAACTTGAAGAAGCCTTGAAGCTGTTCCAAGGAGGACAGAGATGACGAGGAGGAGGAGGACAGGGATGAAGGGGTGGTTGTTTTGTGACCACCGACTCCAATTCAGGAGGCGTGGTGGTGAGGGTGGGATGATGGCACAGGCAGTTTTGGGGTTGGGTGCAACCAATGAGGTAACGTCCAAATGTTATAATTCAGTGGTGTTATAGAAGTTGTAAAGGCCTTTGCTGTCAGGTTGTGCAGTACATTTTGTGCACCAAAGTCTTGCCACAAATAAAGAGCTGTTTTCCACCTTTCTACGCTCAAAACTGTCCAGAGAATTATTTCTGATTTTAGGCAGCACCCCCACCCCAGCTCTTACCCTGAACAGCCACGGACACCTGCTTGCTCTGCTCCAGCCCCGGCACGCTTGGGGCCACCACCTTGCAGCTGAAGTTGTTGGAGGTCTCGAAGGTGAGGTTTTTCAGGGTGAGCTGGTTCCCTTCTGCCACCGTCTTGCCCTGTTGGGAAGGGAGACCCCCAGCCATCAGCCCCAGGCACTTCTGTGCTCAGCTCACACAGGGGCTCAGGCCCTCCTGCCACGCTCAGCCTGCAAGCACAGGACCTCCCTGCAGTGCTGGCCAGGAGGCAGTGAGGTAGAGAGGGACAGTGCAGGTCCATGGAAGTGGAAATCCCTCCCTTGGCCTCTCAGGAGAGATGCAGCAAGCTCCTGATCCTGCAGCAAGCTCCTGACTCAAATTGCTGCAAATCCCAGGCTGAGCCTGAGCACGACAGAACCCTGCTCACCTTCTTGTCAATCCACTGGTAGTTCAGGGCCACGGGGCTGTGGGCATTGCAGCTCAGGGTCACATTGTCCCCTTCTCGAAGGGAGGAGGACGGTTCCATCTTCACACGGACCCCTTCGATGTCTAGGAGAGGGACAGTGAGCAGGGCAGGGTGAGCAGGAGGCACGAGGCACCCACCTCGGGGTCCACAGGGTCCCACCCCGCTGTCTTACAGTTCACAACAAGCTCCACAATCTTCTCTAGCTCTGTCATGTCATCCAGGTCCAGGCTGTGGCATTTGTAGACGCCGCTGCTGCTCTTGTTCACGCCATGCAGGGTCAGGACCCCGCTGTTGGGCTCTGTCAACCATGACAGGTCCTGCCAGTCATCCAGCTGCAGGCAGTGGGGAGAAAGCAGAGCCCTCATCACCCTCCACAGCCACTGCATCCCAGCCCTCAGGTTGCTCCCACAAGGAGCAACCAGGACACAAGGTGTTTGCCGAGGCAGAGGTGCCCAGGTCCCCGCTCTGGCCTCACCTCTTTCTTGAAGAAGGTGAAGACAGGAGGTGGGTTCCCATCAGACTCACAGACCAGCTTCACGTTGTCCCCTTCCTTCACCAGCGCCGAGGACGGCACGACCTGCAGGGTCAGGTGCTCGGCGGGGTCTTGGGGGGAGGGAAGGGGCAGGGTCAGTGCCAAACCCCGCTGACCAGGTAGCAGCACCGCCCCCCTGGCCCCCCACTCACAGAAGACGGTGATCTGGACCTTCTGGGACTCCAGGGCATGCCTCTGCCCCCTCAGCCAGTAGTGCACGGTGCAGTGGTAGCGGGAGTCGCGGTCCTCGCGGGTGACGGGGGCGAACAGGGTGCTGGTCACGGTGTACAGCCCGCTGGACTCGCGGGTCCGCGTGTACTTCACCTCTGCAGGGGACACGGGGGGCACAGGCGCTGTCCCCAGCCCACGTCAAACAGGGGCCAGCCCCTCCTCTGGGCTGCCAGCCCCCAGCTGGCGAGGCCCTGGGCAGCACCAGCACCCCGGCCCCTCTCCCACGGCCGTTCCCCATCCCCGCCCCACTCACGGTTGTCCTGCAGCTGCAGCTGCTCCCCGTTCTTGTGCCACGTGATGTTGGGGGGGGGGAAGCTGTTCTTGCTCTCACACCTGGCGATCTGTGGGGGCACAGACGGCCTTGAGCTCTGGGGGGTTCCCAGGGGAAATAGGGGAGAGGGGAGCGGGGAGCCTCCCCCTGCCCTGTGTGGGGCCGCTCCTCACCTGTGGGTTGTCACTGTCCTGCACAGAGATGCCTGCCGGGTTGGGCTCAATCTCAGGGGTCTCGGGGACCTCTGGAAAGAGAAGCCACCCCACAGGTGTTAGGAGGGATGGGATAGGATGGGATGGAATGGGATGGGATCCCCTCTGACCCTGCAGAGCAGCCGTGCCGCCCTCCTGCCCCGTCACTCACTGTAGACGTGGAGCTCGGTGCGGTTCTCGCCCACGCTGGAGCTCCCCGCTCCGACCTGGCACACGAAGGTCCTGGCATCCTGCATTGTCACCTTGCTGATGGACAGGGCCTTGTCCTCCCCCACCGACAGCCTCTCCTTGTAGGCCGTGTCGTCCTTCAGGACCCCGGTGTCCGTGACGTGGCACAGCCTCACCGGGCTGTTGGTGCGGTCCACCTGCAAGGCCAGGGGCCGAGGCTGGGCTGGGGAGCCCGGGGGAACACCCTGGGCTGGCTGTGCCCCCAGCCCACCGCCCAGCTCTCCTCTGCCAGGCCAGCACTCACGTAGAACCAGTTGATGTAGGTGTAGGAACCATTCCCAGGGATGTAGAAGTTGCACTCGATCCTGGCCGTGCCCCCGACCTCCACTTCAACCACAGCTGGTGTGGAGACCTCCAGCTTGCTGGCTGCAGCTGTGGGACAGAACCTGCTGCTAGGGGCGGGAAGCCCTTGTGCCTGTCCCCATCTCTATCCCCCAAAGGGTGTGGGGCAGAGCCCCGTCCTGTGCCAGTGTGCCCCAGACTGGGGATCTTTCAGCAGAAAATATCCCTCCCAAGAAGCGAAATGAGCCCTGGGCAGATCACTGCCAGAGCTGGAGCCATCAGCACATCACCACAGCAGCCCCAGCTCTATAAACTTAAAAGCTCTATTAGGCTCAATCATAGAATCTAATGATCTAATCAGATGTGCCCCCACCCATTACCCAGCCCCGCAGGAGTGCCAGGCACGCTGCCTTCAGCATCCACAGAGCGCCCGTGGGCTCAGGTACCAAGCCCCTCACAGCAGTCCCGGGAGCTGGGGCATGAATGAGGCGCTGTGTTCCTCCACAGCAGGATGGGCACACAGGGCAGCAGCTCAGGAGGGGCGTCCCAGCCAGCTGTGGCTCCCTGCTGCTCCCTTTCCCCCTGCAAGGGTCCATCCTTGGAGGATGTCCCGGAACACCACGGCCGTGGCACTGCCAGGTCCCTCCACAGCAGGAATCCAGAACCCAGTGGTTGGAGCACCCAGCCCTGCAGCATTGCCAAGGCAAGCCCCTCTCTGCCCATGCAGCAGACACAGCTCTGCCCACCCATAGCACGGGTGGGAGACCCACACCCTGGCAAGCAGGGCTGGCCCATCCCTGCACCCACCTTCCCTCCCAGCCCAGCCGCCAGCAGCAGTAATGGAGCTCCTGGCCACGCTCCAGGACGGATAGGCAAGGTAATGGCTATTGATCCGGGACAGGGAACGGAGCAGCTTCCCAAGGGATTGGGAGCAGCTCAGCCCCAGTCGGGCACAGCCGAGGCAAGGGCAGCATCGACACAAGGCTGGGAGAGTCGCTGCCACCAACCCCACAGGTGACAAAGCAAGGGGGGTCTGCACGCCCTGGGCTGGCACAGGGCCCTGCAGAAGGTCCCCCAGCAACAGAGCCAGCCCAGGTATGGGAGCTGGGGACAAGAGGCTTGGAGGAAGCAGCTGTGTCAACACCTCCTGTGATAGGGCGGCTCGGTAACAGCCACCCAGGCAACTTCAAAGGGCAGCGCCCGTGTCCACAAACTGCTCTTTGTTCGGATCGGGTACGTGGTGGCACAGTGCCAAAACACAGCCAGGAGCCCCTTCTGCCACAGCAAAGGCCTCGGGCTAGCAGGACCAGCCCATCAGACAGGTTTTGGCCCGTGCCCATCCTATCGGTGGGCACAGCTGGCACTAAGCGAAGAGGGACGAGCAAAGCACGGCACAGCAAAGAAAGTGCTAGAAAAATAGCAGGTGATGCCCAGAGATAAGAGTGCACCAGGGACAGGAAATTGGACCCAGTGTACATAGAAAAAGATAACTTTGAACCACAGGCACCTGCCCACCCTGTGCAGCCACGACTTGGCTGCCTGGTCCATGCAGGCACCTGCAGAACTGGGCAGGAATTGGGCAAGCCTGGGGCTGGGGTGTGGCCCTGCTGCCACCCTGCACCCTCCTCTGAGCCGCAGGCAGCCAGGCCAGACTTTGCCTCTCTGTCTGACCCGGGGCAGAGCCAGCCCCTGGGAAGGGGAGAGCTGCTGGCCCTCCCCCTGACCCGCTCGGCATGAGGGCCCTCAACCAGGCAGCAAAGCAACCGAAACCATGAGCTCAGAGCTGGAGAATGGCTGGCATCTGGGGCTGGCATGAGGCACACATCGCTCCCAACCATCCACACTGCCCTTGAGGAGCCTGACACGGTCGCTGCAGCCCCCACCCTGCCCGGAACAAGGGCTCGCTGCTCCCCATCTCCCCTGGGACGAGCTGGAAGGAGCATCCAGCAGCCAGTTGGGGGGACACAAGGTCCCCCCTCCCGACCCTGGGGACACAAGGCTTCCTTCTGCAGCTCCAAGACCTTTTTGCTATTTGCGTGGGCAAGCCAGAGAGGCGCTGGGCACAGGCCCCCTGGCACAACAGGCCCTGGAGGCTTGGCCATCCTCCCTTGTGCCCAGCACAGCTGCAGACACCGGGTCTGGTGGGGGGACCTGGAGACCCCCGAGCAGCCCCAGCTGCAGAGCTGAGCTCCGTCCGTCCACCCCGAGCGAGCGCCTGGCACAGCTCCAGCGGGAGACCCGGAGCTCTGGAGAGGGAGGACGTCTGCAGCCAGCGAGCAGGGAAGGAAGGAGAGCCCCCGTGCCTTTCCATCTGGCTGGCCGACAGCCGGCCGGCAGCCAGAGCTCCACAAGAACAAAGATCTGCTTTTAGAGCCCGGGAAAGGGGGTGGGGAGCAGCACGAGTCCCTCGCCAGCCTCCTGCAGAGCCGAGGTGTGCGGGGAGACGGCACAGAGCCCCCGGCGCTGAGCCCCCCGGCCCGGAGCGAGAGGAGGGGCACGGCAGGGTGTCTGGAGCCGCACGTGGGATGCCTGAGGTTTCCGTGGGTTTGTGTTCCCCCGTCTCAGGGAAACCAGCTGCGGCCAGATCCCGCCTGCTCCCGGCCACAGGCACACATGCTACCCTCCTGTTCCCCGGGAAAGCTGCTCCCTCTGCACAGATCTCTGAGGCGGGATGCCCCAGCTCACAAAGAACAGCATCGCCCGCACCTCGTTTTCTTCATGGAGAGAAAGAACAGGGTGCAGAGCCCCGGCCCCTCAAGGAGCAGCACCAGCAGCGCCCAACAGCACCCAACAGCCTCCGCCCCAGCCCGGCCCCGGCTCGCTGTGCCAGGGATGGAGCCAGGGCTCTGCTGCCGCAGGGACCAGCACCTTGCACCCCCAAACAACCCCATCACTCCGTCAGGACCCCGTCATGTGCACCAGGAGAGGCCAAACTATCAACCCCACCCCACAGCTCGGTGACAACACCCAGAGTCCCCTCTAACAGCCGGATCGCGGTGCAGAAGAGGCTGGGGTGGCTCTGGCAGCCCCAGGGTGGGCTCAGCCCCCCGCTCCAGCAGCACTGGCTGGTCTGGGAATGTCTTGGCTATGGCCCCTCGAGCTTCTGGGAAGCATCAAGCCTTTTCACGTGGCTGGGCTTCCAAACACACCGACGCCGCCAACCATTGAGAGACTCCTGGCTCGGCACATGTGCTATGGGAAGGGGATCCCGGCACGGGCCGGGGGTGGGAACAGCCTGCTTTAGACTCTGAGCCTGACTTTGGCTTCAACACCTCGGCCCGGGCAGGTTCCCAGCGGCGGGACCACCTCCGCAGCACGGCGGGGCGAGGGAGCAGCCAGCGCACCGGGACCGCTCCCGGGCCCCCGGCGAGGGGAGGGAGGGAGGGATGCGGGGAGAGGGGCAGGGCAGGAAACGCAGCCACCCCCCGAGGGTGAAAATGGACTGGAAAGTGGATAAAAAAAGAAAGCGCTGAAAAAAGCCAAGAGAAACACAGCGCCCAGGGGAAAACTCCTTAGAAGGAAAGGGGTGGATGCCTCCCAATAACAACCAGCTCGCTGAACGCACGTGGGGCACCCCTCAACCTCGGAGGGGGGTGCAGAGGGGCCCCCAGAGCGGGACGGGGCACTCTGCCCCACCCTGCCGAGGATTGCGGGGCCGTGCGGGCGGGGACACGCGTGGATCCCACCTGGGCTCTGCCCCGGCCCCGCGATCCGAGCATTCCCGGCGCCGCGCCAGGCACCGCCCGAGGGGCGCAGCGCTCCGGGGCTCCTCGGGCTTGGCCCCGGCGGGAGAACCGCCGCCGGCTGCCCCCCGCAACGGCGAGCAGAGCCCCGCACTCCCCGCCGCACCCCGCGGTGTGTCCCGGAGGGGGACGAAGGGCATCCCCCCGCGCCGCGCCCTCCGCAGCGCCCCGGAGCGCTCCCGCAGGTGCGCGCCCCGCACCGCCCCGCACCGCCTGGCCCGGCCCGCAGCCAACTCACCGCAGCAGAGCAGGAGGCAGCAGCCCCAGCCCAGGGCGAGCCCCGCCGCCCGCCGCCCCCCAGCCATGCCCGCCACCACCGCCGGCCGCCCGCGACTGAAGCGGGGCCCGCGGGGCTGACGTCAGGCGGAGGAGGAGGAGGAGGAGGAGGAGGGAGGAAGGCGCGGTGCCTGCCTACCGCCCGCGGCCGCTTATCACCCCCCAGCGGCAGCCGGCCGGGCGCCGCCGCGCCCATCCCATCCCCGCAGCGCCGTGACCATCCCCGCACAGCAGCGGGAAGCGCTCGGCTCGGGGGTCCTCCCCCTCCGGCGACCCCAAACTCCCAACCCCAGCACAGCCCCTCGTTTTCCAGGCGTTCCCAGCGGTGCCGGAGGGGCTCGGCAGCTCCTGCCAGCTCCTGCCTGCCCGGGCGTGCACGGGCTGAGCGAGGCAGACAGCCGGGCGCTGGAGGTGGAATCGCTCGCAAAGTGTGGGATCGGGCTGTTTTCCCTGGGGTTTGGGGAATGCCGGCGACAGGGACTCAGTCCCCAAGAGTGCGGTGTGCAGGTGCCAGCGGTGACCATCAGGAGTGACCTGCTGCCCCCGCTCAGCCCCACAATCAGCCCTAAAGCCCAGCCGCAGCTGCTGGGTCACCTTTGAACCCGCAGAGCAAACACACAAAAAACGGGTGGTGGGGCGGGGGGAAACCACTCTTTGTCATTGTCTGGGCTCTGAGGAGGCACCTGGTGACAGCGGGGTCCGCGGGGAGCAGCAGGGTCGTGTCCTAGGCAGGTCACCGAGGTCTGCGGGGTTGGTACCCCAGAGCGGCGCCCCCAGCCCCACAGAGAGCCCCATCCTGTCCCCGAGGCAGGGCCCCAGGGCACAGCGAGGCGCGGCCGAGCCCCCGCACAGCTGCTGCTGAATGGGGCGGCTGTGCAGACGCTGCTCTCCGACGGGGCCGGGGCAGCACGGCTGGCCCTGGGGCGGGGGGGCTCGCCGGGCTGCACAAGGCTCCCATTATCCAGGGGTAATCGCCCAGCCCAACGCAGTCCGGCCCCTCCGGCAGCCCGAGGAGGAGCACAGCCAACCCCCTCAGGTGCTGCAAGTTGCCCACAATCAAACCACGCAGGCCAGTGTCCCCTGCCCTGTCACAGCCCGGCTCTGTGCCTCAGTTTCCCCCGGGGCAGTCAGAGCCAGAGGAGCTGTGTTGGAGGACAAAGCACTGGGGTTTTCTTCCCCTTGGAAGCCCTTCTGTTTACCGTCCTCACTGCCCATTCACAGGACTCCCAAATCTCACTGATTCAGAATCACCCTACCTGGGGACAGGCTCAGGGCTGTCCCGAGCTTTTCTCCCACTCTCAGCCCTGGGGGCTCTAAACCTTTGCATACCCTTTGCTCTCTTCTGCTTGCTTCCCCTGCAGCATGATCTGTGCTCCAAGGCCCGGCCAGCACAGGCTGCCTATCTCTGACCCTGCTGAGCCACCCAAGGGCTGGGCTGCAGGTTCCCCTGAGGCACAGGATTCCTCCTGGGAATCCCCGAGCACCTCTCAAACCTCCAGCCCCCTGTGCTGGCCCCCAGACCTAGCCCTGCTCCCCTACTGGTGCCATGCAGCGCCCCTTCCCATGCCCTCCTCCTCCTCCTCCTCCTCCTCCACCTCCTCCTCCTCCTCCTCTTCAGGCCCGACCAACACCCCCCCCCCCTTCTTCAACAGAGAGCCAAAGACTTGATGATTCATCGGAAATGATTAAATTTTTTCCCCACAGGATTAGTTGCTTAAAATGGCAATGCTGGGCAGCGATAAGGCTCCGAGCCCTCGTGCTGCCGCTGGAGAGGGGAGGCCTCCTCCCTCCGCCGGGAGGAACAAGTGCAAGGGAGCTGAGCTGTCACCCACAGGATGCTCAGGAGCTGCTCTCCGATTTAAGCCCCACAAGTGCCACCCTGTGAGGGAAGGGGGCCCAAGGGCTGCTTGGAAAGCACCCACCGAGTCAAACAAACAAGCGGGAGGACCGAGATGCCACACTGCCGGGTGCATTTTGTTCCGGGGCTAACTTTTATTCCGTGTTAAAAATAAAGCGGAATGTTGCTAAGAAAACCTCTGCAGGAAAATTCCCAGCAGTTGGAAAGGGCAATGCCCCTCCCTTGGAGAAAACAGGCTGGCCAGCCACTGCGGTGGGGAACGTGCCACCCTCAAACAGCCTCCTGCTCCCACTGCCTGGCTGTGCCTCCAGTTGGTTGGGCTTCAGTCTTTTAAACTTTGAAAAAAAACTGGGTTTTTTTTTTCCCCCCTAACAAACTAATGGCTCTGGGGAAGACGGGAAGGGTTTGAAAGCAAGGCAGGAACAGATGGCATGAAATCGCCCCGTTGCGCTGTGTGTGGCACCCAGTGGGCTCGGGGCTGGCCACCTTCATCTTCCCTCCCTGCTGCCTGATCTCACGCCCTCTTGTTTATTTGCTTGCTTAATGGATTTGGCTTTGGCACCCATTCACAGCCACGCACACAAACATGGATTAGGCTCCCCTGTCACGGCCCCCAAGCACACAGCCAGGGTGGGAAGGTCAGGGAGCACAGGTCTGGACCCACCTGAGGCACAGAGCAGATCTCACAGCTCTCCCTCTCTGGCAGTGGAGGGAATGTTGGTGCACTCTCCTCCTCCATCCCTCCTGCCACCTCTCAGGTGAGGCTGTGCCTGGGCAGGCAGCTATGCCCCTGGCAGCGGCGGGGCTTTGCCAGTCCCTGGCACAGCTGCTGGAAACCTGGGATGCACAGGACCGTGCCCAGGGCAGGGCTCATTCCCCGGCGTTATCCGAGCATCACAGGTTGCAGGAATGATCTGGAAGTGAGTAATTACATTTACCACCCCCCCCCCGGTTCCCGCTGGGCCTGGCTCTCCACAGCCAGAGAGGGGCACAGAGCCAGGCACAGAGCACAGGCTGCACCCCAGCCCCTTCCACCTTTCCAGAGAGATCCCTGTTGATATGGGACCGAGGGATGCTGCCAGAGGGAGCTGGGCTGTGCTCTCACTGTGCATGTCCTGACACGTGTCCCAGGTGGGGACAGGGGGCCCTGTGCCTTCCCCAACCCCTGCAGTCCCCGGCCGAGCCCGTGGGGCCCAGAGCAGCTCGGGGGGCTCCAGGAGGGCTCTGTGGGGTGCCTGGGGTGCTCTGTGCCAGCTCCCTGCAGCCAGCGCTGGTGGTGCTGCTGATGGACCGCTGGCTGTCCCAGCTCCCCGTGTGCTTCCAGGGGGGATGCGGGGCAGCCGTGCAGGGCGGAAGCCTCGGCTGCATCCGCCCAGGCCTGCACCTCTTCACACAACACCGGCAGGGCCGAGAGGGGCCCCGCTCCCTGGGGAAGGGACAGGCCGTGGGCCAGCACTGCGCTTTCCTACACTGCCCTGGCTGCTTCCCTGCCGCCGGGCCACGGCAGTGCTGAGGGTCACTGCCCTCGGGCACCTTCCTGCCAGGCTCTGGTGCTGCCTTTTGGGGTGCTCGAGGGCTCTGGGGTAAGTACAGGAACCTGCCTGGGATGCCCAACCTCTAGTGCTCGTTCCCTGATTGGAAGACAACGAGGAATGGGGTATCCCACACGCCACAAGGGCATCTCGGGGCACCTCCACCCCACCTCTGTTCACCTTTGAAAGCCCTCCTCGACACCCCTGTTGTTCAGCTCAGGAAAATGCCTCCTTCCAACCCCTTTCCTCGACTGGGCTGCCAGCGGCTCCTTTGTGTCTCCCCTCTCCTTCCTCTCCTCTTCTGCAGGGCCTTTCTGTGGGGATTATTAACCATGGCTACAGGGCCTTTGTTCAGGAGGGGCCGGGAGCGGGAGCTGCCAGGAGGAGCCGGGAGGGTGGAGGAAGGAAGGGAGCAGGAGGGGGGAGGAAGGTGACATCTGGATTTCTGGGCCGGACGAGCGCGATCTCCTGGAGCAGCTGCACGGTGATGGCCGGGGGGGTCAGGGGGTGCAGAGCGGTGGCAAAGCCCCAAAAAGGAGCCAAGCTGGCAAGGGTCAGCCATCTCCAGGCCGTGCAGTCCTCCCCTCACACCCTGGGCACGACCCTGGCTGTGTGTGGGGTGGATGGACAAGGACAGCTGGGGCAGCGGGAGCTCCTGGGAGAACCTCAGCCAGCTGACAGCCCAGGCACAGGGAGAGGGAGCCCTCTGGCCAGCCTGTCACTCGACATCTTGGGGGTACAGGAGCCCCACGTCCCCGAGCAGGTGCTGCCCTGGGACAGGCTGTGAGCCCTCGCTCACACTCTTTCAGCCGGGCTGGGCACGGACGTGCTCGAGGCTCCCCTCCCAGCCCTGCTGCACTGCTGCCCTGGCACGAGGGGCAGGCTTTGGGACTAGGTGGGGGCTGAGTGAGAAGCCAGAGCCTGGGGATGGTTACGTATAAAGTAGCCTTTTCCTCCGGAGCGTTTCCAAGTCCATCTCCCCCCAGCACCGGCCGGAAAAAGGCCCCATTGTCCCAGTGTTACACGGGCCGGGGCCGGGCACTCGCCCACACAAAGGGGCAGATCCTGTGCCTGGCCGTGGGCTCCAGCCCTGGGACACCTCCCTGGGAGGGGCAGCTGCCCCAAACCCCCATGTGGAAACCCTGGCGTGGGCTCCCTGTGGGCTCCAGGCAGGGATGTCTTCCCGCCTGCTTTGCCTGCAGGGCTTGGGGTTCCCCCGGGACGGTTCACTAGGATCAACTGTGAGAAAGCCTAATCACAGATTAGCCCCAGATGGGCAGCTTTAGGCCAGCCCCAGCTCTGGGGGAGCCCCTCTTGCAGGGGATCCCTTTGGAGGCTTTGGGAAGGCTCCCCATGGAAAGGGGAGTAAAGGCAAAGGCAGACAGGGCTGCCAGGGCAGTGAGCAGGGCACAGTCCCCATCCCACCTCCCCACACCGCTGGCCCCACAGCACTGGGGACACGCTGGAGCACCAGGGCCCAGGGGAACTGTGGGGCTGGCCTGGCCAAGCAGGAATTTCTCCTCGCAGGATTTTCCCAGGGAAGAGGACTTGCTTTTCCCAGGGCTGTCTGGCCAGGCTCCAGGAGGAGAGAGAGATCCCGGCTCCCACCGTGGGGGGACATCCAGCCCTCCAGAAACACGGTGGCCAGCCCTCGTGCTCCAGCTCTTCCACAGGTCTGCAGGGTGAGCAAAGGCAGGGAAGGTGCCTTTGGCTGCTGGGGACACCGGGATGGGCTCCCTGCTGCTCCCAGTCCTTCCTGCAGCCTGGCTCCAGCAGGCTCGGAGCAGATTCCCTGCCAGCAGGGATACGTGCCTTGGGGGATACCATCCCCTGCACCTCCAAGGCTAAGGGAAGGGCAGAGGAAGAGCAAACCACATCATCCTGGAGCCGAGCCCGAGTGGGGACGGGGGATTTTCCGGAGCGGATGCACCGAAATGAGCCATTGTTCCAGCCTGGGCCGCGAGCTCGGGGCTGCGGCGCCCGCCCCAGTGCCCAGGGACCTGCCCAGCCCTGGGCAGGGCTGCCTGGAGGGCACCCAAGGTAGGGCTGCTGGCAGTGCCCAGGATTTGTGCCAGGGCTGCCACAGGGCCGGGGGTCCACAGGGGAGGGCACCCTGGGGATGGTGCCAGCTGTGGGAATGCTGGGAGTGCTGGAGTGGTGCCAGCAGGACCCACACTCCAGAAACTCCCTTCCTGCCTCAAGATAGCACCAGGGCAGGGACCCTTGTCCCCCCGCAGAAACCCGGGAAGGGCTTTCCATCCCTGCACCCAGAGCCTCGCTCTCCTCTGCTCCAACCAAATCGCTGTTCCATCCTGAGCCCCCTCCTGGCCTGAGCCCTGGGCCCCTCTCCAGCAGGACTGGGCGATCCTACCGCGATGGGAAGCAGGCACAGCTCCCCTCCATCCCCCGGAGCAGTGATGGAGAAGCCCCTGCACGAAGCCAGGGCTGTGTGACCGGTGCAGCCCCTGCAGCAGGAGCCCACCGGGGTACCCCGGGCACGGCCGGGGGATGGAGGGGGAGGCGGGGAAGGAGCGGAGCACGCCCAGCCCTCGGCTCGGCTCCCTTTGCCCTTCTCCCGCTGGGTGAGGCGATGAGAAACGCAAACATCTCCATAAATGCCGAAAGCATCCCGGTCCGTCACGTGGGGATGCAGGGACCCGGAGCCACGGCCAGCGCCGGGAGGGCAGGGAGGGGACAGAGGGACAGCAGGACAGAGCCCGGGCAGGGACAGGCGGACACGGGTGGCACCGCGCAGCATCAGCGCACGCAGCCGGGGTCAGGATGTGCCCCCTGCCCCGGCTCCTGCCCCGGCTCGGGGTGTTCGGGGGGGTAACACGGAGGGGGGGAGCTGCAGGAATTGTCCCCAGCCCTGCCGCTGCCTCGCCGGGGCAGGTGTGGCTCATCATCCGCCGCGCTCGCTCTGCCATTCCTTAAAAAGCCACGGGCTCCAGGGCTGGGTTTTCCTGAGCTTGTCATCACCGGCAGCGTGGCAGGGCTGGCCCATCCCCTGGGGCACCTCGGCAGCCCCACGGCCTGGCCGGGAGCCCGCGGGGAGGGCCGGACCTGCTCCAGGGCTGGAACCTTGGGCTGGGTCACGGCCGGGCTTTATTCCATGATGTCCTGCAGGAAACAGCGGGAGAACAGCTCTGAGCTGCCCCAAGCCAAGGCCAGGCTGGCCAGAGCTCCGGGCAACCCGCTCTGGAGGAAGGTTGGCCCTGCTCCTCCTCCCACAGTGCTCAGGCAGATCCACGCAGGGTCCGGGAATTACTGAAATATTATAATATTAATAATATGTATTGTTATAATATAAAACTCTCCGAGTAAAATAAAGCTATTAACATTAGGTAATATAATTCATATCAGAAATATAATACAAGACTATATTTTAAATATAATATTATATATTGTATTTATATACTATATAGTATACACAATATGTAATATAATATATAATTTTCATATTGTAATATGAAAAAATTAAAGGGGTAAAAATTATATATATTGTAGATATGATGTCATATAATATTATTTTTATATTGTAATATAAAAATACTTCATTTCAGGCTTTAAAAGGTATATATATTATATAAATATAATGTCATATAATAGAATTTTTGGACTGTAATGTAATTTTTATATTGCAATGCAACTTTCACATTGTAATATAATATGTCAAATACTTAATTTCATGTTTTTAAAAATTATATATACTCTAAATATAATGCAATACAACACTTATGAAATAATTTAATATTAAAAATACTTTGTGGTTTTAAAATTATATATATATTCTAAATGTAATGCAATGTAATTTTTATATTGTAAAGTGATTTTTGAATGGTAATGTAATATAAAAAATACTTAATTTCAAGTTTTTAAAGTTCCGCGGGCGCGCAGCGCTCCCCGACAGCGCAGGCGCTGGCCCTTTAAATGAGCCGCAGTGGGCGTGGCCGCGTCCTCCGAACCGCCCAATGAGCTCGCCGTGAGGGCGGGCCCCTCCCCTGCCATTGGCCCGGCGCTGCACGGAACGGCGCGCCAAGATGGCGGCGCCCATGGCGGAGGGTGGCGGCGGCGGCGGCTGAAGCGGCGCCGGGCGGGCCCCGCTGTGGGGTGTGAGGGGTTTGGACATACCGGCCATGGACGCGCTGTTCGCGCTGCTCCGCGCGCTGCGCCTGGCGCTCGACCTGCTGCTGCTGGTGCTCGACCTCAACTTCTTCCTCGTGTCCTCGCTGGTGTCGGCGCTGCTGTGGCTGCTGTCGGCCGCCTGCGGCCTGCCCGCGGCGGCGGCGGGCGGCGCGCTGGCGTGCTGGGACGCGGCGGTGCTGGCGCTGGCGCGGGGGTGCTGCGGGGGGCTGGAGGGGCTGCGGGCGCTGGCGCGGCTGGCGGCGCAGGCGGCGCTGCGGGGCCGGGAGCTGGCGCAGCGGGGGCTGGGCGCGGCGCTGGGCTGCGGGCAGGCGCTGGGCCGGCAGGCGTGCGAGGCGCTGGCCATCGCGGGCAGCCTGCTGGTGTACCTGGCCAACAGCCTGGTCAACGTGTGCCTGCTGGGCGCGCAGAACCTGCTCACGCTGCTGGCCGCGCTCTGGGACTCGCTGGCGGTGCCGGCGCTCCGGCTGTCCGAGCTGCTGGCCGCCCTCCTGGCCCACGTGTCCAGCGGGGCCATCGCCGTGTCCATCCTGCTCTGGTCGCCCTGCCAACTGGCCCTCGAGCTGCTCTGCACCAGCGCCCAGATCTTCGTCAGCGTCTTCTTCGTCAACGTCTACGGGCTGGGGCTGCTCCTCCTCATCGTGGCCGTGGGCACCTTCCTCCTCAACCCCGGGCTGCCGTGGACGCTGGCGGGACACTTCCTGGGGTACATCCAGGGGTACTTCCACGCCCTGCCCGCTTTCCAGCGCCTGAAGAGGGACGCGTGGCGGCTCTACCAGGTGGCCATCCTAAGCGTGGGCATGGCCATGACCTCCCAGCCCTGGCGCAGGCTGGCCCACTGGGTGCTGCAGCTCACGGACTGGAGCCTGCAGGTGACCAACTGGAGCCGGGGAGGCAGAGGGACCAACCGGGGCAGCGACCAGCGAGGGGCTGTGGCGGTGGCCAGGGCGCTGGGCCAGCTGCTGGACGAGGAGCAGGTGGCACAGCCGCGCCCCGGGAATCGCGCTGGGACGGCCCATGGCAGGGTGGCCGTGGGCAGGCTGCTGGACGAGGATGAGGAGCAGCTGGAGGCAGGACAGATGCCACTGCCACGCCCTGCCCTGAGCCGTGCTGCGGCGGCACAGCATCCCCAGGCAGCCAGGCAGGAGCCAGGCCCGTCCTGGGGGAAGGCTCCGAGGAAGCAGCAGCTGAACGCGACGGCCGGGAACGCCGAGGGAGCGCCGGACAACGACCCCTGGGTGCTGCTGAAGGAGCAGGAGGAGCGCAAGAAGTGCGTCATCTGCCAAGACCAAACCAAGACGGTGCTGCTGCTGCCCTGCAGGCACCTGTGCCTGTGCCAAGAGTGCACGGAGGTGCTCCTGCAGCAGGCCATCTACCAGCGCAACTGCCCGCTGTGCCGCCAGATGATCCTGCAGACCCTCAACGTGTACCTGTGAGCCCCACGGCACAGGAGGGGCTTGGGTTGTTCTCCCAGGAGCAGGTCAAAGGCACCCCCCCTGCCTGCACTTCCTTCCCAGGGCTGCCCCGAGCAGCTTCCAAAGAAACTTGAGGATGGTGCTGGAAGGGCAGAGCACTGTTGGGGTCGTGTGCTGGTCACGTTTGCTACGTACCTAGGTTGTAGCTCTTGCTAGCAAGCACAACACTGATCTCTGCAGGGGGCTGGAAGAGAGTTACCTGGGGTTGTTTTTTTTTGTTGTTGTTGACGACTTTTGCTGTTTTTCAAGGCCTGTTGTTTGCCTCGAGCCCGCAGCAGCCTGAGATCCAAAGCAGAGCCATGCTCTGGTCCCTCGTAGCCAAAGCTGATGGAAAAGTTAAAGGCTCTGCCCTCCCAGGAATCACAGGGGCTGGTGCGAGGCAAGGGAAGAGTTTTCCCGAGGTCTCACTAGAAAACTACCTGGCTGGCTGCGTTCAGGCCTCTGTTTTCTCCTCCCACCATGGAAGTGGGGGAGTTCCCTGGGAGAGGAAGGAGCACACTCAAGTTTTTTTGACTCTGCTCCCAGAGAGCTGAGCCTGGCTCCCAGCTGGAGAACAGTTTTCAGCATCCCAGCCACCCAGTGGCTTTGGTTTCTGAAGGATATCCCTTGCCAGGACAGCGTGGAGCCCTGCAGAGCTCAGTGTTGCTGCTGCTTCCACGCATCACCTATGCAAGACTAGCAAGCACACGTCAGGTTTTCCTGCAAAGGGATTTGGCTGGAGGGCGTTACTCTTTCTGCTTAGGGAACCTGAGGGGTGGCCAGCCAGCCACTGCTTCCAGCCCTGGCAGCAGCAGCAGCCCAGCTCTGAGCCAAGGCTGGAGAACCCTCTCCAGATAATAGATATTTTCAGGCTCAGAGCACCCTGGGACAGGCAGGTTCACATCAGAGCTTGCTCTCACCTTCCTAGGGGCTGGGCTGGTTAGAAGGAGGAGAGGGGGAGCACCCCAAAGCTCCTGGGAGCTCACAGACATTCCAGCTCCAGGCACATCTGCTGGGATCTGCAGTTGTGTGCACGGAGCAGCACCAGGACCACGGATATCTTGGATTAGGGCAGGGTTGTTCTGTTGTTCTGTCTTACCGTCTGTCACAAACATAGCTGGTTTTAAAGTGTCCACTGAAGTCCAACGAGAGCATCTGCTCCTGGCTGGGGAGGCCTGAGGTGGTTCATCCCAGCCTGGGCAACCAGCACCATTCCAAGAAACTGCTGGGCTGCCAGGGGGCCTTTTGCACTGAAAAGCTTTCCCTTTCCCAGCTGCTTGCCTGAGGTCAGCCACACGCCACAGCCAACTTTGGCTGCAGCCTGGCTGGAGAGAGCTGCCTGCTGGACTGCAAGCCAGGAGCCTGAGGGCAGTTGGCATGCTTTTCCTTCTCCATTTCCCTGCTTGATGAGCAATTTAAGCCAAAACAGAGGCAGCAGAGAGGCCTGGAGTGCTGGGAGATGCCTCTGTGCTGTAAAACTGAGCTGTGGCAAGGTACTATCTTGTGGAGTGGCTTTGCTCTGGAAGGCACTGCCAGAGCTGTTTTTCCCTCACATTTTCTGGGAGCTGGAGGGACTCCCTGGCCCTGGGGCTGTCAGCTGCTTCCACTCCACTTCAAAGAGATGCAAAGCTCCCTGTTACTCAGCCTCTTGTCCCTGTGCCTCCCACACACCTCCCTTGGTAATGTTTGCTCTCTCCAGCCACCAGCACTTGCAGTGGAGTAGCCAAGCTCTCACCAAAGCAGCGAGTGTGACCCCCCAGGCTGTGCTCCCTGGGGTCTGGCTTTGTCCCAGAGGACACAGGGAGCTGCACCCTTCCCTGGATGTGCCCCTGGAGTCCCCCAGGAGTGGGAGTGTGGCTGTGCTGGCCACAGGCAGCAGCTTTTGGTCAGGACCAGCTCGTGGGTCGTTGGGTGCAATATTTCCTACATGAGTTACAGGGGGGAGGGGAGAGAAGGACACCTTCCCAAAAATGCAGTTTGTTCCCTCAAACCTTTTTTTTTTGTTGTTGTTGTAGCAGTCATGCTTGTTGTTTTAGGGCCTGTTTGTCTGCTGTTTATAAAGAGAAAGCTTTGCCTTAAGTTTAACTCTTTGCACTATGGACTAGATACTGAGCAGATTAAAGTCTCCTTTAGCAAAAGATGCCTTTTTCTTGGGAAGGGTTTTCTTGTGTGTGTGTGTGTCTCCATCACTCCCCACTAAGGGTCAGAGCTGGAGGATCAACACCACCAGCAAACTCGTGGGTGTTTGCTCCCAGGAGGGCTGTGCTGTGGGATGCTCAGGGTCCTGATGGGCAGAGACTCCAGGAGTTGTGTCTGACCCTGCCCTGCACTCACCTGCCTTGGCTGCAAACTGGCTGATTTTAACCGGGATGAAAACCAACCCCGGGGAGATGAGAGCTGTTGGAAGGCCAGGAAGAGACGGATATCTGCTGCAGGATGCTCCCAGCCCCCCTTCTCCCCCAGAACTCCCAGCAGGGGATGGAGAGGGTTTCCAGCCACCTCAGGCCACCGCAGCTGAGCTGGGAGAGGACAGGATGTGCAGGACACAGCCTTCCCCGGGGAGCCATCCCGCACTCGCTGGCCAAGCAGCGAGAAATCGGAGCAGGGAAATGCAACCACCCCCTGGCTAATGGGCAGGGAGGCTGCTGACAGCCAGGCCAGGCCAGGCCTGCCTGCTCTGGCAGCGTGGTTTTCAGTGCAGGGCTGCCCTGCCTGGACAACACACACACACACACACACCACCCCAGGGCACCAGAGCTGGGGTTCCCAGGGGCACTCCCTGCTCCAGGACTTGCTCAGGAGCCTCATGTGCGAGATGAAGGGGCTGCTCTCAGCTCATCAAAACGCCCAGACCCTTCCCCGGGGAGGGAGAGGAGCACGAGGCTGATGAGGCTGCCGCGTCACCGCAGTTTAGGAGCACCGGGGTGGTCGGGGCTGACAGCTTGCCTAAACCAGGGGCCCCCCAGGCCCTGGGAAAATCCTTTTGTCAGCCCAGCTGCAGCTCCCCTGAACTAATGAGCTGCCAGTCCCAGGCTGGGGACAGCGGGGAGCCGGCGGGAGCAGATGCGCGGCAGCAGGGGCAGCCAGTGATACCCGGCCGGCAGGGAGGGAGGGAGGGAGCAGGTGAGCATCAGCAGCAGAGCCACGGGGGGCCTTTGGGCTGCTCCTGGCACCAGCTTGGCTCCCTCATTAGTGGCTGAGCACAGGGAGCTCCCAGAGCAGCCGCAGTGCCCCGGGGGCACGGAGAGGATGAGGCTGGCAGGGACAGTGGGGTCACACAGCCCAGGGCAGCTTGCATGGGGCTCTGATCAGCGGGGTTCCTGAACAACCTGCCCCTCTGAATGACCCCTGCCAAGGTTTGATCACTACCTCACAGGATGGGCAGCCCTCTGCTGGGCTCTCTCCAGTATGTCTATGTCTTTTACTGGACCTAGTCCTGACTGGTGCTGAGCAGAGGGGATGGGTCACCTCCAGATCACCTCCCTGGAGCTGCTGGCAGTGCTCCTGCTAATGCAGACCAGAGGGCTGGGGGCCTTCTTTGCCATGAGAGCACACTACTGGCTTGTAGTAGACTTGTCACTCATTGGGATGGACCACTTGAGTTTGGAGAAACTGATCCATTGTCCTCGTGGACACCTCCTCTCACCAGGACATGGGATCCTCCCAGGCAGAGCACTGAAGAAGCCACTGCCTGCTCTCCTAAAATCCAGGCTTGTGGTCCTTTCCTTGCCCACTCCATCCCCACCTGAGCCAGGATTGTCCCCTGCCCATTCCCAGTTGAAAGCTGTCCTTACCAGGTCAGCAGTCCTGCTGGTAGAGGTCACCTGGAGATGGCTGGAGATCGCTCCCTGCGCCTCCTCAGCACCGAGGGCACTGAACCTGTGCCATGACCACAGGGGTTTGGGTGGAGCAGGACCCACCTTGCTGCTGCCAGGAGTCACCAGGACACCCCTCACCATCGAGGGCATTTCCACATTCAAGCCTGGCAGCTGAACACTCTGACACTGGAGCTGAAGGTCTGGACTCCTGCAGGGTGTCAGAGATGATCCCTTTGATCTCCGATGCCACACAGCCTGCTGGCCTCCTCCAGTGACCTTGGAGTGCCAAGGACACGTGTGCTGCTCCGAGGAAGATGTGCTGGCGTTTATTTTTGCTTCTAAAAGCCCACAAACAAACCACAAAACCGCAAAAAGAAACAACAAAGCAACCCGACTCTCCGCACAAACTGCTGCCTCTGCCAGCTGCACTACAGCACCTGGGGGCTGAGCCTGGCTCTTTTATAGGCTTCTCCCCTGCCCTGGCTGAGGGATGCTGGTCCCTCCCTAACCTGGGCTCAGCTGGAACAGGGGCTCCAGGCTCTCCTTCCTCAGGGGCAGCTTGTAGAGCCCATCAGAAGCAGCTGGAGCTTGCTAAAAACTTGCTAGTGTCTCCTGTGCCTCTCCTTCTCTTTTCCTTATCCTTTCCTTATCCTCTTCCACATCCTCCCCAAGCACTCCCATGTTCCTCAGGGGGTTCCCAGCACTCCCCTCACAATCCCAGACAAGGACCAAGAGCATCCCAAAGAAGGCAGAGCCCAAAAACTGCTGTGTCTGTGTCTACCCCTGCTGACCACCCTCCCCTACATCCTGGCAGGGACCAGAGAATGCTCCCAGTGCCTCCCCCCACCCCCAGGCCTCGTCTCCAGAAAATTCACTTTCCTCCTCCCAGAATACACAGCTCTGGCCATCGATCTGTGGCCTTGTTTGCCCCCAAGGCATCTCTGCTTACACGAAAGGCCATCACAAACCCAAACAGACGCTTCTACAGCAACCCAATCCTGAGGGGGTGGGGGTGTGAGGGGCCTGCAGGGTGGTGTGCCCACGGACCCCTTGGGGATTCCCTTTTGGGGTGGCATTGTCCCTGTCCAGGTGGCACAGACGTGGCCCCACGGCTGGGCAGGGACGCAGATTTGCTCGTTCCGACAGGCACAGCGCTAGTACTGGGGGGCCATCCAGTGTGGATGGGGGGCAGCGGGGATCTGCGGCAGGGGAAGGGTGTGCAAGGGGGTCCCGGGTTTCTGAGCCCTGCAGGGACAGCCAGAAGAAGAGCCGGTCCCAGCTGGCACCCCATGGCTCCGTGGGGCACCTCCCCCAGCCCATCAAGGGGTTCGGCCGCTGGCCAAGAGCCCCCTCCCCCGGCTGGTCCCCGCAGGGACCAATTTCGGGCAGGAATGAGGAAGCTCTTCATTACCCTGCTAAAAATAGGGACCTTTCCCAGCCGAGGGTCAGCGCGTTCACACTGGGGCGGGGGGCGGGCACGGGGGGCTCCTCATGGCCCGGCCGGGGAGAGAAGGGTACCCACCCTCCCCTCCTCGGAGTGGGGTCCCTGCTGGCCCTGGACATGCCAACTCCCCCGGGGTGGCCCTGGGGGCACCGGGACCCTCCCTCCCGGCCGGGGGTCGGTCCTCGGTGGGGGGGACACCGGGGATGCTCCGGCCCCGCTCCCCCTCCCGAGCGTCGGGGATGTGCCGGGGGCTGTCGCAGCTCCACGGCTCAGGGACACCGCTGCCACCATCTAGTGGCTCCCGCTGGCTCTGCGGGGACAACCCCGGCACCGCGTGCCCGTCCTTCTGTCCCACGTCCCAGACGTGGGCGCAGCCCCCTCCCACCGTCGTGGCTTCCCCCCCCCCACAAGGGCGCCCAGGCAGCCGGCACACGCGTGGCTGAGCAGCCCTTTATTGAGGGAATGGCTGGGGCAGGACCCGCGGGACGGGCTCCTGGCCCCGCAGAGCCGGCCTGGGGAGCAGCAGGAACCGGGCACCGTGCCGTGGGTTCCACATCACCAGGGTGTGGGAGCTCCCCCAGAGCCGGGTGCCCGAGATAATAGTGAGCTCGAGGGGTGCTCCCCGCCACCCCCGGCATGGCAGAGGGGCTGTAATCCTGCCCTGAGCAGGGCAGGGGGCCCGGTGCCCTCGCTGCCACCACGCAGGGGGACTGGGAAGGGGCACATCCCCAGCCGAGGGCGGGCTCAGGCGAAGACGGCGGAGTTCTGCCAGTAGGAGTAGACGAGGAAGCCGGTGAAGGTGCTGTCCGTCTTCACGCTGGCGTAGAAGCCGATGTAGTCCCCCACTCCCACCTGCACCCACACCTCATCCTCGGGCTCCAGGCGCACCAGGGTGCCCCCCGAGAGCGAGGTGGGCTTGGGCCAGTTGCCGTAGTACTGGAAGAAGGAGGCGACGGTGTGGCCGTTCTTCATGATGTCGAACTGCAGGCTGGTGCGGTACACGGTGGCGTGCACGGCGAAGTAGTAGAGCCCGGGCACCTCGCAGGTGAACTTGCCCGAGGCGGGGTCGTAGTGGCCCTGCTCGTTGATGAGCACCACGTCGAAGAGGATGGGCTGGTCGGGCAGGGGGGGGCTGCGCGACTCGGAGCGCTTGGCGCTGAAGGCCGAGCGAGGGGCCACGGCGCACTCGCCCTGCGCCCCCTTCTCGCCGTGCAGCCCGTCCACGCCGGGGCTGCCCATCTCCCCTCGGGGGCCAGGCGCTCCTGGGCAGGCAGGAGGAGGACAGGGTTACCTCTAGGACATTGCCACTGCCACCCGAGCTACCCCAGACACCCCAGCCCGCCACACCCGGGGCACTGCCCAGGGAAGCAGTACGAGTGGGGAGGGCTGGGCGTGTGAGATAAGCTGGCACAGCATCAACACTTTGTTGGAGAAAGCCCACTGGCTGGCAGAAAACCCACCCTAGGAGCCAGGGAAGGCATGATGCAGCCCTGTTCCTGGTGTACTCTCCTGGAAGAAAAGGATGACATTGGGGACGGAGACAAATGCAGATTTGGCAGTGACAGGGAGCTGGTGCCTTTCACAGGAGGACAGAGTCACCACAGGCAGGACCAGAGAGGGGTGGTGGTGGCATGGAAGGGGCACTTTTGCAGGATCAGCCCTCAGTTTGGCAACACAGGGCTGTGCCAGCATCCAGGACTCCCTCCCTGGCATGAGGGCATTCCCCACGGGCAGGGTAGGGCAGTGCAGAACAGAGCAGATCCCCCTCCCCAGCAGGGGTGTCTCCTTTCTTACCAGGAGGGCCCATCTCGCCCTTCTCCCCGGGCATCCCCATGGCCCCGTCCCGGCCATCTCGTCCGTCCCTGCCTGGCAGGCCCTGGCCCCCGTGCAGGCCTGGAGTCCCTGGGATTCCTGGCTGCCCCGAGCACAGCCCAGGGATCTTGTTGTCTTCGATCTGCAAGGAGCTGGTGATGAGCCCGAGCAGGAGGAAGAGGAAGAGCTGCTTCATCTCTGCTGCTGAGGGCCTGGAAGAGACAGAGAAGGGTCGTGGCTTTGGGAACCACAGCAGAGAGGGCTGGGAGATGGGCTGGCAGAGCTCGGCAGGGAGTGGGTGTGGGGGTCAGCAGGGGACATTCCCCTCTTCTTTTCCCTTTGCCTTTTTGGCAGCTCCTCGCAGCTGCACCTGCTGCAGCATCCCCACGGCCCGTGTGCCATCCCCCCACCCTGCAGGGCCCGGGGGGGCTCCCGGGGTGCTGGGGACAGGGAATTGGAGAGGGGGCTGCAGCACGGGCAGCTCTGTGGGTGAGGCAGGGGGCCGTTCAGGGTGGGTGCTGCTCCATCAGCAGCCTGCCCGGCCCCGGGGGTGCGGGCAGGGGGGATTTAGGGGTGTCAGTGGGTGGGGTTGTTGCATCCGAGGGCGGGTGGTGGGGCAGCAGCTCAGGGAGCGTGGGGCTGTGCCGTGGCCCGGCCCTTGGCAGCATCCCGGCCGCTCCGGCTCCGCTCCACACCCGCCCGGCTCCCTGGGGGCTGCAGCATCCCCGGACCACCCCGGTGGCGGGACCACCCCGCTGCCCCCAGCCCTTCCCACCACGAGAACAGAGCCCCGCGGCCAGAGCTGGCCCCCACCACCCCCCCGCCCCGTGGCCCCGACCCAGAAAAGCTGCTCTCTCTTCCCCCCCCTCCTCCACGACTGCAACAAAGAGGAAAAGGAGGAGAAAAAGTGTCTCTTCTCCGCCCAGGCGCCGGAGCCAGGAATTCAGGCAGTCCCAGCTGCCCCCGGCTGGGTGTCCCCACTCACTGCGGTCCCAAAGCTCCTGCCCCGGTGCCTCGTTGCTCTCCTGGGCTGGAAGGGCTGAGACTCTTCCCGGCCACTTCGCTCTGACGAAGGCCCTGGGAGAGGCAGCCTCTCCACCACCCCCCCTCCTCCTCGCGTCTCTCCTCCCAAACTCCAAAGGAAATCAAGGGCCTTGGGAGCCAAAAACTACAAGACAAGGGGAAAAAGAAAAATAATCCCGTGGTGTCAGGAGTGTTGTAAGCAGGGGGAAGGGAGAGCGAGGCAAACAGCCTGGACAAGGGAGGAGAGGAACGGGCTGCAAAATGCCTTCAGTGAACACATCTGGGCATCCAGGCAGCAGGATGGAGGGGAGGGAAAACAGGGCAAACAGGCAGTGGGGAGAAAGGGAACAAGAGAGAGGCTGAAGGAGGGAAACCCAGCAAAGACTGGGAGGAAGAGGGAGCCCTCGGGATGTGAAAGTCTCCTGAGTGGCAGCCCCGGGGCTGCCTCTGGCAGCAGAGCTGAGGCAAGGGGGGATGACAGGGCAGTGCCAGCCCCAGGATCACCCATGGGGAGCTGCAGGAGCCATCCAGGGGGTGGCTGAGCTGGCAGGGCAGGTGGAAGCGCAGGCAGAGCAGCGCTGTGGCCGTGCCAGGCGGCAGGGCTGGCCCTCAGGGGACCGTGGAGCACGTGGGGAAGCTTTCGAGGGCGCTCCCAGCTTGCCTTTAACTTGTTCCAGGGCTGAGTGCATCCAAGGGACACGGTCAGACGCCGGGCAGCGGGGCAGTCCCGTGGTTGGGGGAGTCCCCATGCCCCACAGCCGGTGGGATATGCAGGGAATGAAGGAACCAGGCGGGCTCGAGCCCCCTGAACCGTGTGGGAATGGCGGTGCTGTGCTGGGTACAAGGGCAGAGCGGGGCTGACCCCAGTGGGTCCTGCTCCCAGTGACTCCAGCCAGGCTGGGGACTTCCCCACACGCTTGGGAGGTGTGAGGGCAGCAGGAAGCACTGCTGGCTCTCTCCTCCCTGTTCCAGTGCCCACAGCAGTGTGGTGGCATTGCTGGCTGAGCCTTCCTGACCCCAGTGCCCCAGGGCCAGGCTGGGCGCTGGCAGGGAACCGCCTGGCTCCTCTCTCCCAAGGTGTGAAGGGACTGTTGTTTTTGGCCAGCTGGGAGCTGGTTTGTGGCTGTGGGGTGGTGCCAGGCCTGTGGCCATCAGGGTGGCCTCCAGCCAGCACAGCCAGCTCAGCCAGAAAGGCCACAGCTCTTGCTCAGGCAGGATCCCTCCCCTGCACCATGGGGCCACCAAAATGACCCTCTCCAATACCCATCCATCTCTCTGGGACTTTGCAAACCCCCAGCTCAGGGAGGGCACAGCTGCCCCTTCTCCCTTGTGCCCCTCCCTTCCTGCTCAAACCCCCCTGGCTTCCCACCCTCAGCCCATGCCCCAGTTTCCCTGAGGATCTGGCAGGAGCCACGCACTGACCCTCCCCAAATGAGCCACTTGTTTCATTGGGGTTGGCAGCTGCTAAAGCTGTTTATTCTGCTGGCTTTGGGGCTGCAAGACACGGGCAGCCCTAGGCTCTTCTTCCTGCAGCCCTGGCTCACTTCTGCCCAGCCTTGTTCCATTTGGGAAGCATTAACCCTTTCCCTGGTGCCCCCAGCACAGCCCCTTCAGCCCAAGCCTTTCCCTGTGGGATGTGTCACCTGCTCTCTATGGATTTGGAGCTGTGGGCTGAGGGCCTGACCCAGGGCAGGTGAGGAGCCAGGCAAAGGGGGCTGCAGGTGGGGGCCACCCCAGCAGCTGGGTATTCACACCAGGAGGAGGACGGGGTGGGACATTTGGGGTGGGGAGGGTGTCTTCATCCCCTGCTCCTCTTCTCTTGCGGGGTCAGGGCTGGAAGCACTCCACGGGGTCGTTGGAGTCGGGCAGGATGTTGCAGTTGATGGGCCAGAGGATGCCCAGGAGGCCGAGGGACTGCTTGCAGCGCAGCTCTGCCGCCAGGCACACGGCCCGGCAGGGCTGCAGGACCCCCCCGTCCGGGGTGCACTTGGGCACGAAGAGGCTGCAGATGAGCAGGCGGAGGTGCTGGAAGCACGGGAGCTCCATCAGCGTCTGCGGGAGAGCCGCGGTGAGCCGGGAATGCCGTGCAGGAGCCTGGAATGCAGCCCGGGGGCAGCCCCGCGGGGGCGGCTCACCTGATAGTCCTGCAGCACCTCGGCGGCTCCCTCCTGGTCCGGGATGGCCAGCCAGATGTTGGGGAAGGAGGTGGCGTTGTAGCCCAGCCCCAGGCACATCTCCACGTGCACGGGCTCGCAGACAGACCCTGCCACATGGCGAGGGGCTTCAGTCCTTACAGCAGCGGTGTGCCAGCCTGTCCCCTGCCCCGGGGGGGCTCAGGAGGGGGCTGAGTGGAGAACCTGGGGTTGATACTCACCGAAGGCTGGGTAGGACACCCCTGTGCAGTTGAGCTCGTCGGTGCCGTCGGGACAGTCGTGCCAGCCATCACACACCGACTCCAGCGCCCGGCACTCGCCGTTCCTGCAGGAGAACTCCGCGGGGCTGCACGTCTCTGGAAGGGGACAGAGGCCAGTGTGGCAGGGCATGGGCATGGTGGGAGTCAGCCTGCTTGGTCACTGGGCAGGGGGTCTGACAGGTGACTAGCACCAGCCCAGCTTAGGGAGATCCCCAGTTCCCCAGGTTGTTCAGTATTCAGGGGCAGCTGTCAGGTGATGGATTGTGCAGGTCAGCCCCTCCGTGTCACATTCCCACAGCTGGGATCAATGGGGTTATAGGGTAATTCAGACAACAGGCCCTGTGGGCCTGTAGCCCAACCTGTGACTCCAGGCAGGGTCAGCTGTGGGGAGAGAACAGTTTTTTCCAGGGTTTTATCCAGCCTGGCCTTGAAGACCCCCAAGGATGGTGACAGCACAGTCCCCCTGGGCATCCTGTGCCCTGGCTTGGCTACCTACTCTCTGTGGCATTGTGGGCTTGGTAGGTGGCAAAGAACCCGTTGTCAGCTACTCCCTCATCTGCCACGAAGAGGACGGTCATGACGTGCCGTGAGGAGGTCAGGGGGGGTGGCAGCTGGTGGCCACAGAACCTGGCAACGTGAGGGATGGGGTCAGGGTGGGCTGACCAGCAGCTCCCCAAACCCCTGCCCTCCGGCTGCTCCTCCCCACCAGCCACCCCTGTGCCTCAGCTTGCCCAGCTGAGCCAGGGCAGCCCAGTGCCCCCAGGCTGGTGCAGCAGGGCTGGAGGTAGGGAGGGTGGGCTGTACCTGCCCATGAGGCTGTACCTGCCCATGAGGCTGGCGGCCCCCGTGCCCGCGCTGTCATGCACCTCCACGAAGTCGAAGCTGCAGTCCTCGTGCGACTCCAGGCTGAAGTTGTGGAAGTGCAGGTCGATGACGTGGCCCACGGGCACTGAGATCTGCCAGAGGCACAGCTGCGGGGCGGGGGCAGCCGGCGACACCCGTGAAGCCGGGCAGGGGCACCCCCGGCCCTCCCCGGAGGGAGGTTGCCTTTTCTCCCTGCCCAACCTCACCCTCACCCTGCTCCCACCTCCGTCCCTCCTCTCACCTGCTGGTGTGGGTATGGCTGGGGATGATTTGGGGTGGAGAGGTGCCCCTCCAAGGCGGTCAGTGGCCCCCCACACTCTGCAGGGACACACAGGCACGCAGCTGTACCCCTGACCCTCTCCCTTCCCTCCATCTCCCCACCCACCACTGCGCCACAGCGACTGAGGGCTGGGGGCTGCAGGCAGGGCTGTGTCCCACCCACCTTTGTGCTTCAGGCTGCAGTTGGCCTCATCACTCTTGTCCATGCAGTCGTGGAACCCGTCGCAGACGAAGCCCAGGTGCAGGCAGAGCCCCTCGTCGCACAAGTGCTCGTCCCAGGCGCAGCTCTCTGCACGCAGGCAGAGACAACCCGGGATGGAGGGCCATCCCACCGGGCTCTGTGCCCTCCTGGAGGGACCCCCATGGCTCTCCCCACAGCCAGGAGCCCTGGCAGTGCCCAGGGTTGGGGGTACTCACTCTCACTGGGGGCCACGGCGCGGTAGCGGGCGCTGAAGCCCAGGGCGCCCACGCTGCTGTCGGAGACGAAGGTGACGCGCAGGCGGTTGGAGTTGGAGTTGAAGGTCGGGGGGGCCACGTTGCCACAGAACCTGGGGGCACGGCGAGGGGTGATGCTGCTCACTGCCCCCTCACACTGCACCGCCACGCTCCCCACGTGTGAGGGTCCTACCTGGTGGGGCCGCCCCGAGCCGGGGCAGCATCCACGCCCTGCTCCTCGTAGAGCTCCACACGGTCGAAAAGGCAGGAGGCCGTGCCCTCCACGCTGAACGTCTCCATCTTCAGCTGGATGGCGAGGCCGGGGCCCACCTCGATGCGCCAGATGCAGAGGGCGTCGGGGGGGTAGGGCCCGGGGTAGTTGGGGGAGCTGAAGGAGCCCTCGGGGCCCCTCAGGGTCCCTCCACAGGCTGCACGGGCCAACAGCGTGGGCATGAGCAGGAGCAGGGCACCCCCATCCCCAAACACTGCCCCACACGGGGACACTTACCCGGTGCTGCCGTGTGGGCTGTGGGCACCCAGCCCTGCGTCGGGGTGGCAGCTGTTTTGGGGGCCGGGGGGTCCCTTCGGGTGGGTGCTGTGGTGGTGGTGGCCGTGCCACGGGCGGGCAGGGCTGTGGCTGGGGCGCCGGGTGGGTGTGGGGATGTCAGCTCTGTGCCCAGGGAAGAGCAGGGAGTGCTCAGCCCCGGCAGGGAGAAGTGGCTGCAGTGCAGGGAAGGGGCTTAGGAAGCCCACCCAGCCCCCGGGGTGCAGTTCCCAGGGGATCCCACGCAGCTCTCCGAGGGGCCGGTGGTCCTGCCACATCCCAGGGGGGTGGAGATCCCCCTTGCTCCTGTGCGTGGGGGCACCCTCCCCCAGCCGCGGGCAGACCCTGGGATGTCCTCTTAGCATCCTTCTTCCCCTCTGAGCCAGTTCTGCGTCCCCCCCACCACAGCCACAGCCATTCCCCAGCTCCCCCTGCTCGGGCACTCACGGTGGATGACGATGCCCAGCAGGAGAGCGATGAGGAAGAGCAGGATGGTGCTCATCAGAGCCACGCAGAGCCAGGTGAACTTGCAGTCGGCGCGGTACCTCCAGCCTACCTGCCCCCA